CAACCTTTTCTTCATATAAACACTTTATCAATCAATCATACATGTTGGAAACTGGTAACACCTAAACTGAATGACCACGACAGTTGGGAAACTTTACATGATTTATGTGTCACAGGAAGAAGGAGTGTCTCAGTCCAAAAACAGGTTGAACAACCCAGCACAAGTGAAACATCAGGACATAATCCCTGGTATAGCAAATCCTATGGTGTAACCCTTGCATGAAGTTAAGGACTGCTGAGGAAGATGATTTTATTGTGTGGAAAAGAGAAGGAGGAAGAGGGCATTAGACACTGTTGATATCTAGCCACTACCCAGTACTGGCCACAAGATTTCTATAGTATGCATCGCCATGACTTCAGGTAAAACAGACAGTCTACCAAACCACGAGGACGATAGCCAACAAGTTTATGGTAGTTAGATTAGTGCATGCTGGGAGAGGGAGGGAGTTAGTGTGAAGAGCCAGAGATAACAGTAAATCTAGAGGGTGCTGGATTGACCTGATAATGATGTAAGGGAGCTGGATACTCTTTGATGGGAGCTGGGATCCTGACTTAGTTGCAAACATTTCAGCTGAAATTACAGATATGAAGGATAAGTCAAAAGAACTTGTTTATAAATGGTTCAATGATGCAAGGTATTTGTTGCATTTAAAATTATAATTTGCAAAATAGATGAACTGTGGGAAAATTTCAACAGACTAGGATAATGATATTTGGTGACTGGTAGGAAATGTAATTCTTCTGAAGAGGAGCATTATCACTGGAAGTTGAACATGATCTGTGTGCTCACTTAGTAATAATTCAATATTGTTTTCAAGGGAGATTACATTCACAATGCTCATTAGATTATCCAATGAATTAAGGACTTAATTTACCAGTATATAACTTCATACATCACTGCTTATCAGTGATCTAGAAACATGCACAGGAACATTTGCTTCTTTTCATATTTTGGATTGCACTACTCTTCATTCTGATTATCAATTATCTTGTACTGTAATAGTATTGTACTATTGTTTAGCTTCCCTGACAGAAACATGATGTTACTAGAGCTTCAATGAGTCCATTTTTTTAGACTCGAGTACTCGAGGGATGAGACTCGACTCGGACCCGAGTACTCGAAATTCATACCTTTCAAGCAAACGATAGCGTAAATTGCATGACGTGTTCCGATCACAGAAGTGAACACTTACTTCTTTCCGACTTCATATCGTCATGTGACTAACATTTCCTATTGGTCAGAATCAGTATTTGGATGTTTACTTGACAAATGGTTTTTTTCTTCGTACTTCATGTATTGCCTGCAAAACGCAGTGATGTACCGCACAGGCGGCATTTGGTTATTTTGCTCTTTTCACTATCCAGACCAAGATACGCACATACATTTGATTTTTTTTATCTTTCTCCATGTCTATCAATTGTCAAGATAGTTACCTAATCATTTTAAGAAGTGAAATCTCAAACGATGTATAATATTTACTCTCATCTGCAGACTTGTAACAACTAATACCATACAGCCACACCGTGTGAGGAGTAAACTATTTAATTTAGGTGTTAATAAAAACATTATCAGATGGGTTAAAGAGTTCAGGGTACATAGAACTCAGTATGTCAGTGTCAATGGCTATCAATCTTCTTTCCTCTCAACCTCTACTGGAGCTCCACAGGACTGTGTTCTTTCATCCGTTCTCTTCGTTTTGTATACCAATGACTGTTACTTGTCAATATATGACGTGATTACTGTGAAATGTGCAGATGACGCCACTGTTACTGGCCTAATTTCTGATTCTGAACATTATTATCGCCAAGGCATTGACAAATCCGTAATGACAGTTTTTTATCAAACCTTTATTCAAAGTGTGTTGACCTACAATTTTCTATGTTGGTATGGGGATCTGTCTCATCGCAACAAAAACAAACTTTTCAATATTGTTAATACTGCTTGCAAAATTTCTGGAGTGTCTTTCGAGTATATTCCCTTTATCTATGAGCGCCAGATTGTCAAAAAGGCATCTAAAATTAGATTTGATAGTTGATATATTTGATCTCAACATTTTGAACTACTCCTTGTGGACTGCTGTCGATTCTCTCCTTCAAAACAAACAGAGCTCCACAGTCTTTCATACCATCAAGTATTCGTGAATGCAACAAATATTTTGAATCACTCCATCATGTGATTAGAACTAGAATTATTCAGCCTCTTTACCTATGTGGTTAATTGAATTATATCATGTCAGATTTATTTGTAAATATCATTCGTTTTGAGCATGTAATTATTGTGTAAATGTTTGTGAACTGTGTATATATTCATTTTGAGTCAGTTTGGATGTAAAAGAATTTCCTCCGGGGAAAATAAAGTTATATCTTATCTTAATATTAGACGTTAACGGCCGCTCGTGCTTAGCACATGGCAGACAGTCTGTCAACGTCAAATAATTCGACTTATCTCCCCTTTTCGAGTCCTCGAGTCCTTGAAAATGGACTCGAGTCCAGCTGAACCCGACTCGTCCTTGAGTACTCGAGTACCCGTGGAAGCCCTAGATGTTACAGACCTGCCTGTAATATTCTCGTTCTCTGTATCAAAGATGCTACCCCTTCAATGCTTGCTCCCATCAATGTTGACGACACCTGAATTAGTTTCAGAGATTCAAATCCTATTTCAAAATCTCAGCAAAAAATAAAATTTCACAAAAGTACCACATGGTATGGAATGCTGAATGTGTGTGTGTGAATAATTGTTGCTGGTAATATATTTGAAAAGCCAGTGGTCAAGCCGACCAGATTTAATTGATGAACATTTTCAATGGATCAGATTTTGCAGTATAATAGTTGGTGTCCCCTAAATGTTATCAATTTTTATTCTTGTCTTGAATACAGGAAAACACTCTCGTGTCAGGAAGTCTTAGCCATAGGTAATGTTCAAGACAATTCCTTTAAAACAAGCAAGTTGCATACTTAGTTTGGGATTCCTCACTTGACACGCAAGCTTGCAAAACAACAGCTGGCATTTCTGTTTGATCATTTACTTTTTGTTTCTTTGAACAGTATGAAAAGACCCTATCTGCCCCTTATAACAGCTCGGACATCTGGATATGTTTTACTGATGTCAGGGTTATATGCATCTTGACATACAGTACTACTGGGGACAAATAAGCAAGCTTGATATGAAATGTTTTAGCACAGTCATCTGACAGCATGGCAGGGGCATCACATTGTGTAAAACTGTGGCCTACAATGTGTACAGAACAGCTGCATATCTCCATACAAAGGCACATAGCAAGCGCTCTAACCATGTGAAATGTAATGCAGAGCTTGATTTGGTTACAATCAACACAAATACTGTTTTGGTATCAGGATTCTTTATTTGTTTAAAAGATTCAATTTAGTCAGTCCACACCTGTCATAGTCCCTCCATGATTTCAATGTGTGTCAGTTAAAAATCTAATGCACCACAAATGAAGTGGCCTAGTATGAACTCTGTTGTCATGTTGTCATGGGCAATAAAAATCAAAGTAGATGTGACAAGGGAAGAGCATGTTTTTGACCCCACTGCACACGTGTGCTACTATATAGGCTTGAATTATCTGCATGCAAAAAGTAAGTTTGCGCATATGGTTGCCATGGAAACTGAACTTGAACAGAAGCAGTTAAGGTGAAATTGTGAGTGATGATCGTGGCAAAGTTTTGAAACCTTATTCTCAAGAAAAACAAGGATCAGAAAGCTGAAACTTCATATGGCATGCTTGTAGCCATGAGCAGATTCAAGTTTCCTCGAGGTGTCATGACTGCCTGGCAAGTTTCATGAAGCTTTGTAAAAAGGTGTTTTTTTGCTCTCTCTCTCATTCTGATTGTATTAATAACATATGTTCTGGAATGTTGACTGCAATGATGCAGTATGTGTTTTACATTTCCTAGAATCTAAAATCAGCTTTTGCTTTTCTGAAACTCAACATGGCCACCAAAATGTAATTGAAGCTGTTGACTACCCGGTACATATCCCAGGTGAACCACAGTGATGCAACTTAAGAAATTGTGTCTGAGGGTTCATTGTGAAAAAGTGAAAAGAGGTTTTGTAGTTAGCAACATCATCCAGACATGCTGTTTCTCCTTGTTCATGTGTGTAGCCACACAACTGAGTGAGTGTCTGTGCATGAGTGTGCATGGGTGCGAAGGTACAATCCAGTATGTTATTAGCCAATGCCTGTATGAATGGGTCCACAGCTGTTGTGTAGAAAGCGTGCAAGTTAACAACATACATTAGGACATCATGACCACCATCACTCCCTCCTGCAGGTTGAGCAAAAGACTACACACTATCAGATCAGTCTCATGATTTGGAAACAGGTAGATCTTAGAACTATCACCCTTTGAATTCTGGTATCTATCTCTCTTTGGGCTGCAGACCCCACTGACATGATGTGACGACATTTATGAATTTATGTGTCATGAAGTAGAGTCTTTATGTCACTCATTTCCTTTGAATGCTTGACTATGGCAACCTAGCTGGGAACATTTGAAACTTTGTTGTCTCCATTTCATGGAGGCAATGAAACACTTATTAACCATAGCGACTCCATTGACAGACTTCCCAGTGAAAGATTAGAACATTGCCCCCATACATGACACGAAATGCTAACCCCAGATGGGTGGGCATTTAGCAGCAGTTGTTTATTGTCTTGCACGTGTGTTCCAGTTAGATGATCACAAGACTTGGTGCAAATGTTATGCTTCTTCAATGACAGTGAGGACAATAGGCCAACATCATTCATATATCTAGTCTCTGCCATGGATGTAAGGGATAGCCTAGTTTTCATCGTGTGCATGAGTCACCCCCAAAATAAGGCTTCAATATACCGTATGGGTACATGTTTGCACACTCCAAATGTGATACTGTTGAGGTGGTTTTAGATCATGTAAAGTGTTGTCATACGCAGATGTCAGTTTGACAATTCTGACTTACCACAAATACTAGTCTACAAAGATAGCAATATATCGTTTCAGATCGCCTACAAGTTCTATTGTACAAAGATGTCAAAGAAGCAATGCGTGATGGTGGCAAACCCAAGTCAGTGTTTCCACTGGAAGGGTTCTATGGCATCGAGTCGTTCCAGTTTGACAAGGAGGCCAATGTTATGGCACTGGTGTGCCAGAAACAGGTTACTCTGCTGGCCTACGAGTCCCGAGAAAACATGATACAGTTTGAAATCAAAATCCGCAGAAGTCTTGGCCAGGGTAGGTATGAGACATGAAGGACATGGTCAGTGTTCCCCAGCTCAAGCTGTCAACCAGTTCATACCCTTACTTGTGTGTACTGTATTTAGGTTTAATTGCCTTTAGCGCAGATGTGCAAATCCTCACTCATGTAATATACCATGACAAGTAAATACCCAGTGGAAGAATGGGTTTTCCCAATATATACCATATAGAATTGTGAAGAATTAGAATGCATACTTGCACTATATCAATAGTTAATTAAAAACAACTGCCAGTTTCATCAGTTGGATGTATGCATTGAAAATGTCATTGGTGAGTGTCTGGCCCAGAAGCCCCTTCAGTTTGCTTCGTTTGGGCAGTCAAGATGTTTCCAACCAAGTCTAAATATTACACTGTTTATCAATGTTTATGTTTGAAGGGGTTGAGGTTATTTGATGTTAGTTGGATATGTACACACTTCCAGCTCTCTTCTCAAGGAAGCTGCTTTGGATATTGAGAAGTTGAAAATAGCACAAGTGGTTACTTCTAAACAAACTGACATCAATAGAGCTTAGTTGAAGAAGAACCTGGCCATGTTCCTCTTATGTTTGAAACGTATGACAGAAATAATAGAAACTGATTCTCCATTTGTGATGTACAGCTTTCAGTAATGTCAAATAGCTCTCTCTCTCTCTCTCTGTGTTGAAAATTACAACAGGAAGTGGAGATATTGTTGAAGTAACTGGCTATTACAAGGTTTTGACACCTGCCACATTTATTGTTGAGACATATTCTTCAGAATCTAATTTCCCTGTTCTATTGCAACCACCAGGAATATTAAAAGTTTTACTTATTGTTGGACTAATTGGAAAATGTATGCACTTTTCAGAACATCAGTTTCCTGTAAGACTGGCCAAAGTTCCTCACAACAGTCGTCTCCCTTTGGAGTTGATTCGATTGCACATTCATGGACAGAAGTTTTGTATGACAGCATATATTCCACCCAAAATCCTTCAGTCTTGGCAGATTTGTGATTTGAGGCGGTTTGGATCTGTGGATGGAAAATTTTGCTTTGAAGGAGGATCAAAATGTGGCCGAGGTGAGCATTAACATGTGTTCCCTGACAGGACTTTTCTGGAAAATATTTATATGAAATATGAAATGTGAATACATGTTGGATTGGAATGTGCTCAGGGATTCTCCAGTGAAGCTTTCATTTCCAAATACTTTTTAAACAAGTTTTCATTGGCAGAGGGCATAATGCTATTTCTTTCTATAATTTGTATTTTCCTTATCCTGACTCATGCTCTTTTGCTTGTCTTCTTCTTCTTGCGAACATAGTGGAACACTTGTATTTCCCTAATTGAAGCTCCCTTCAATGTAAAATCACTAATTAGTACTCACCAAGAGTTGCTTCCCCTTTCCGAATGCACGGGAAAGGAGGCGCCACCTCTTCCCACATGGTTCACTCTCTCCTTCTTCGCCCAGTGAGCAGGATGTGAGAGCGCCTGTGTCTCCCTACACACTATATCCTTTGATTATTCTTATTTAGTTACCTCTTTTAGTCATCTATAGAGGTTTAGCTAGTATCCTTCAACAATTATGTATTGATATTTATTCGTATTTCTGCTGTTTATTCACAGGACGCCGTGATTATTCAGTAGTTTACGTTGATGAAAATCTGTACTGTTTGCAGGTTACGTTTTTCTGCTGCTGATCCGCATTTAATATGCCCCAGCTGTACTGCACCATGTTCATTTTCTTCACGTTGCAGTTACTGTAATAAATTGTCTATTTCTGCTTTTGACAAATATTTACTTTGCGTCTTGAGATGCGCAGCAGATAGGACATGTAAGCAGAGTCTAGCCATGGCTGATACATCTGAACCCCTTGCCAGTCAACTGCTGTCTGACGACCCCCTCCCGTCTGGTGTTCCGCTAGAGTTACCCTCGGAGGAGAGGTGTGGGACGCAGTCCGCTGTCTCCAAGAAGCGTCCTGCATCCCCAGACATCCCGTCGTCTCAGCCGAAGACTTCTACTTCAACTCAATGCAGACTCCGCACCCCCAGGGCAGCGTCTACCTCCAAGGGGAAATCGACAAAGTCTACTAGGACTTTCTCAGCTGAGATTGTTCCCGCCGCAGAACTGGGCCTGTATGATGATCAGCCGATCATCATACCTGATGTGCATCACAAGAAACGACCGGTGTCTGCAACAGTGACGTCAGCGCAGATCGCCATGCAGCTTGATGTACCAACGCTGATGTCTGACGATCTTCCTGAGGGTCCCGTCGCTACCAACGCAGATAGGGCAGCAACTACATCTTCGCAGACCGTCCCAGACGACCTGGTTCTTCAGATTATGAAGATGATGAGAGACCGCTACGGACTGGAGAGACAACCAGCCCAGAGCCTGAGCCTTCGCAAAGGCTCCAACGTAGACGTCACCCCAGAGGGACCTCTCGTCAACATAGCGGCTGCTACGAAGTCATCGCGGAGGAACCCACCTGCGGAAGGATGTCAGAGCCCACCTCTGCGAAGGACCCAGATGTTCAGCCTTCGCGAAGGACACCTACATCGTCACCTACCTCGGACTCCGATCAACACTCACGTAGAGGTTTGCGAAGGAAGATCCTCTCATCCCCGGACTCAGACTCGGACCCCCAGCCTTCGCGAAGGCCTTCGCGAAAGTCAAGTCGTCACTCCCCAGGACCGGACTCAGATGAAGCTTCGCGAAGGGCACCAGTTACAGGCTCCAAGTCATCTTCGTCTAGAAGGTCATCGAGGGATTCCCCAAGAGCTTTGCGAAGCTATCACCGTTCACCACATAGATCTCCGCGAAGGTCACTATACAGACGCAGCTCGTCAGGCCGCTCGCCACGTCGATCTCCTCGTCGTTCACCTTGTCGATCTCCTCACAGATCACCACATCGTTCGCCTCACAAGTCTTCACGGAAGTCCCCAGACAGGTCTCCGTTGACGTCACCCTGCAGAGCTGTACAAGTATACAGGTCTCCACCTCAGTCACCATCGGAAGAGCATCAACCTCTTATCAGCGATCCCGTTACAGAAGATGATGGAGGCATCATTTTCTGCGATGCAGAAATACGCTACTGGATGGTTAACAACCTGGACCTATCTTCACCTTCCAAAAACGGTAACCCGGCCCACACCTATCTCATGAGGGAGGACGACGCAGATACGATCACCCTACCTCCGATCGATCCGATAGCAGCGGTCCCACAGAATCTGGACTCAGCCTTCCATAAAGCCACTAAAGCCCAGGCGCCGCACTTACCACAGTTCAACGCCAAAAAGTTCTCAACCCATAATATGGACCCATTTTTCAAGGCACAAGAAATCGACGATAACTTCAAAGTCATCAACGATGCCAAGACTAAGAACTATGAGATAGACGACCGCAAGCTGGCTCAGATCGAAACCATGACAAGAAGAATGTTCTTCGGCCTTAACAGATCAAGAACGATTAATGAAACTCTCATCACCAGATTTCAAGGTTCTACATCAGAAGACTACAGAATGATATACTCGGCCCTCCTTATGCAGAAGAAGGACCAGCAGTTTTTAACGGATTATCTAACATCAGTATCCGCAGCGCTAACTCTGGCTCGTCGTCAAGGTCTCCTCGCTTCCTGCAGTTGGGGTGAACAGTTCACATCTTCACTCTACACAGCCCCGTGGTCTACGCCATCAATCTTCGCTGGAGGAATAGATAAAGTCTCTAAAGAAGTCACCAAGGATTCAAGGGAAGTCCTTATGATAAAGTCGATGGACACGCTAGCTAGCGTCATCAGGCAGACATCACAGAGATATTCAGGAAGATCAAAGTTGACTGGCTTACAGAAAGCGGGATAGGAAGATGGCCGGTTCAAGAGGAGGAAAAGATTCTTTTAGTCGGCCATATGGCAACTACAGGGGAGGATCTGGAAGAGGCAGGGCACCCAGAGGCTCCCGCAACTATAAACGATGAAGGACGGTTTCGGAACGACTGGAGTCTTCCACCCCCAGCCGTTCCAGTACAACCATCACAAGTGGGTGGACACCTTCAACTGCACTGGGAGAACTTGGGAATTCTACAGGATCCATATGTCTCCAACATCCTACAACACGGATATCGAATCCAACTACAGGCCACGCCTCCGCTTACAGTCAACCCTCACAAGTTCGATTTTCAGGCTCAACAACTACCAAAGTTACGAGAAGCTGTTTCATCTCTCCTAACCAAGCAGGCCATAGAAGTACTGGATCAAGTAAACATCGAACCAGGCTTCTACTCCCCAGTTTTCCTAGTGCCCAAGAAAAACTCCAAGGAAAAGTTCCGACTCATCTACAACATGAGCATGTTCAACAGAGATTATCTACGCAAACCGCCAACGTTTCGCATGATACATCTACCTCAACTACTGCACCTAGTTCGTCCCATTATCTACGCAAACCGCCAACGTTTCGCATGATACATCTACCTCAACTACTGCACCTAGTTCGTCCCATGGACTACATGGCCAGTATAGATCTGCAGGATGCTTATCTACATATCCCGATACATCCCGAATCCAGGAAATACCTACGGTTTACACTAGACGGGCTGCATTACCAATGGAAAGTACTCCCATTTGGAATATCATCGGCCCCCTGGTTATTCACAAGAGTAACGAAACCTATCGTCACTTACCTACATCGTCTAGGGCTACGCAGTGCGTTCTACCTCGACGACGGGATTGAAGTAGATCAAGATCCACAGCGTCTCAAACTACAGTTAAACTTCATCATCAAGCTACTAACGCAGCTAGGATGGTTAGTAAATCTACTCAAGTCGGACCTAGAACCTACGCAAGATCTGCAATTTCTAGGCATTCGATTTCTCACGACACAGAACCATATCGTCGTACCAGAGGACCGATGGCTCAAGATCCAACAGACCATCCCACAAGCCTTACTCTCTCCGCTACCACTACGACAATGGCAGAGTCTGTTGGGTCTCCTCACGTCAGCCCAAGACATGACAGTCAGAGGCAGACTACAGTTACGTCCGTTACAGGTCCTCATCAACGCTCGTCGCGACGACCTACAACCATTCAGTCTACCGAAGCACATCAGACCTCATCTACTATGGTGGACCAGGAGGTCGAATGTCTGCGAAGGCATCTATTTAACAGAGCCGAAATTCAAAACCCATCTCTATGTAGACGCGTCGCTCCAAGGTTGGGGAGCTCATCTCGGCAACCGGACGGTATCAGGGTTATGGAACCAGCAAGAGAGCAAGCTGCACATAAACATGCTAGAAATGAAAGCAGTAATCAACGCCCGACTACATTGGAGCACCTTTCTACAGAATGCACATCTAATGATTCACACCGACAACTCAACAGTGGCGTTTTATATAAACAAACAAGGCTCAACGAGATCATTGAACCTATTGACTCTATGCTTTCAACTGTTGGATCTAATCGACGATCTCAACATACATGTCAGAGCATGTCACATTCCTGGAGCCAAGAATGTACTAGCAGACGCACTCTCGGCCACATCTACCGTCACCGACAGAATTGATGCTCCATACAGTAATCTTTGCACAGATTATCAAGGAAATAGGAGCTCCGCTAGTAGACCTATTCGCCACTCGCTTCAACAATCAGCTAACAACATTCGTATCACCAGTCCCGGATCCACAAGCGTGGGCAACGGACGCACTAAGCATATCCTGGGAAGGCCTCAACGCGTACGTGTTTCCTCCGCCAGCGTTAATTCCAAAGGTGACAGAAAATCAGACAACTCAGAGCCTCCAACTGATTTTGGTCGCGCCCTACTGGCCAGTGAGAACGTGGTTTCCCATTCTAATTCAAGAAATCGGACAACCAAAACTACAACTACCAAAGCGCTCGAATCTACTAGTACATCCTCACACCAAACAAGCGCACGGAAACCCAAAAACATTCCAACTTCACGTATGGACTGTATTAAAGTGTGTCTAAACAACAGAGGTTATTCAGCCAGAGCGGCGAAAGCAGTCACGCTTGCTTTACGCAATTCTACGCACAAATTGTATGACGACAAGTGGCATAGTTTTGAGACATATGATT